ATTTCGCGATGGTGCATGTATTCCCTTGGTCCTCAGATGCAGGCGAACTGAAAGGCGACTGAATTAAAGACCATGCATTCTGTTCACCAAACCCCACTGATTTCCTCCCTTCCAGGGCACAGGGAAGATTGCCTGTAGCCTGCAAAATGTGAGCAACGTTGGCACTTTGGGGCTGAAGCCATGGAAAACCCCGCGTGATCCTCAATCTTCTCTCCTCTTCTCTTCTAAAACAGAAGTGCCCATTAGCCAAGTCCTTCTCCCATCCTGCTTTTAGAATTTTGTCGTGTCGTAAGAGATCTAGGGTCTGTATGTCACTGCAGCATAGCTAGAGGTCTCCTAATACAGCTACAGAAAAGAAAAAAACCTGTCAAGGCAAGCATGTATTATAATATTAATCTAGTAAGATAGAACTTGTAGCCAAAAGTATACTACATTTTACAGCATGATTCCATATTGATTAAAGCTATCCTCCATCAAGATGTGCTATGATACCTTACGAAGCTAAGCACATGACTTCAAAATTTTATAAAGAGAATCTGTTGGGGGAAATGACATCCACAGCAAGAGAGCGGTATGGGAAATCAGCAAAGAGGTTTGGGCAGAAAAGTGGCACGGCCTGGCTGAGATTGTAAAAGGGTTACTCTGTCTGTTGAATTTTTTTTTAATTTTAGAGAAAATAGTACAAAAATAAAAGAATAATAGTAAAAGATAACAATATGTAATATAACAACCACTGTTAGTCTCTATCATTTGGTTTGAAACCCTGTATCATTTTTAATGTCCTTGCTTTGTGTTGTTTGTATTTTACCACGTCTGTTGAATTTTTTAATAGAGCCAGAAGGGTAGGGGCAGGGGCAGGAAGACTGGTTAGGTGGGTATTTCAGTAACCCAGGAGGCTCAGGGGAGAGGTGAGGAGAAGCAGTCAGCCCTGGACACATTTGGAAAGTGTAGGCAACAGGGTTTCTTGATTAACGATGGGATGTGAGGTTAAGGGAAAGACGAGACGTTAAGGTCTTTGGAAGAGTATGTTTGGTTTTAACTCTAACAGAAAATTTCCTTTTAGACATACCTAGGTAGAAAGCTCAAGCAGTAAACTGGATCCATGAGACCGCAGTTTGCAGGAGAGATCTGGACACAGATACACATTTGGAAGTCATCGCTATATTGATCGTACCTCAGGCAGGCAGCCCGCCTGAGAGCTCCGGGCTTGGGGAGCAGAGGTGGAGAAGAGCAGCTGCCCGAGAGCTGCAGCCTGGGGGTTTCTGCACCGAGGTTAGGGAGATGGAGGTCAGGGACACAAGGGACAGAGAAGGAGCAGCCAGTGGCGAAAAGGACACCAGAGGAATGTGCTCAGTGGGGACAAGTGCAGAAAGTGTCTTAGAGAACCTGCTATCAGCTGTGTCCAACACGGCCAATTACCAGTGAGACAAACCTGAGTCCTCATTGGATTTAATAATACAGAGTCCGGGACAGATCTTGGAAGAGCTAGCTGGCTTTGGTGGAGTCAGAGGAGTGAAAATTCATTGGCGTGGGCTCAGAGAGAACGGGAGGGAGAGAACTGGAGACCAAAGGCATGAACAAACATTTAGAGGAATGCGCTAAGCTCTTCAGAGGCACTGCTGTCAACTGGCGCAAAAAAAAAAAAAAAAAAGCATCAAAAAAAAAAAAAAGGCATTGGCCGGTGGGGAGAGAGGAAAAAGGTAATGTGGCTTCTTTTTGTTTTCCAGCTAGAAAGAGTAGCCCAATGTTTTTGTGGCTGTTGTGGATTTGTTCGGCCTTAATTGTACAGTGAAAGGTTCCTTGTTCCCAGAGCTTCGATTCCAACAGAGAGAGAAAATATGAACTCATGGCTATTTCAAAGAAAACACCTCACCCCACATGGCCAAGCGCTGCCCCTACGATAGGTGCAGCCGCCCCCAGCCATTCCTGCTGGTACCAACCCCCGTGGCCAACAGACCACAGAGGAAGTAGTACGTAAAACACTGTCTCATCACCATGCTGCGTAGTATTACGTTATTTTTCATTATCACTGCTGAAAGAGCTGAACAATACATGAGATTTATAACAAGAAGCTGCATCCCTGACCCACTCCTCCCTAAGTCCAAGCTGACTTTCAAATCAGCATTTGTTTCTTCTCTTGCTTACTGTGACAGGTACAGATCACATGTGCACTGATTTTTTTTAGTGATTTTTCAAGATTTTAACTTCAGAAAACCAAGACTGAGCTTTTAACCTACATATCACACCCATATTCCTGTATCCCTCTCTCTCTCTCTCTCTCTCATCCTCTTAATAAAGTTATATTGAGGTCTTTCATTAAAATTAGTATTCAGTGTTTGCATTACTAGCTACATGACTCATGTGATATGTTGTGATCACATCTTTTTTGAATGACTTTTTGTTTTTCCCAAGTTAATAATTGCCTTAGTTTTTCATTGGCTTAGCATTCTATCTACCTACAATTAATGTATACTTAAATTATCCCTAAGTATTCCCAAGCAGCACTAAATGCCCACCTTTATACAGGTACATCCAGTAGTCCACTTGTTCAGCATATTTCCCGGAGACACACACCCTGGGGCCCTACGTGGTCCTCCTCCTCCTCTCTGGATGGGTGCTTTCTTTCCCAATGCAATCGCCCTCAGGATGGGATTCCTTTCCCTCTCTCCTCTTTGGATTCTCTTTTTTGTTGTATCCGGGATCCCTCTTTCTTGGTTTCTTCCCTAATTTTGTCACTTTGTCTGTAGCTTCCTTCAAGGGCTACTTAACAGGGACATTTTTATGATCTGACACATCTGAATCATTCTTTATTTTAAATTGCATTAGCTCAATTGTTCAGCTCAGTGTAGCATCAGAAGTGGACGTCGCCCCTTGTCTCAGTCTTTTGAAGACACTGTCACATTGCCTTCTGGCTGGGAAGGGGGCTCCAGATGAGCATCTTGTATTTGCTGTTTTGCCTCTATTAGCTTTTATTATGCCTTGTAATCTGAAATTTTACAATCACGTGCTTTGAGACAATTCTCTTGTCATTTATTCTTCCTAACTGGGGAACGCCTAAATCCTGGGAATTCGGCTCTTTTTGACCTATACATTTTTCTTTAGCATCTGTGATCATCTTTTCCTCTCACATCCTGTTTGTTCTCCTGGAATTCCTGTTCGTCCTGTCTTACATTGCTTTGCCTCGCCTCCTCATTTTCTTACGCTTTACCGTCTTCCATCATTTTACTCTGTATTTTGAAGATGCTTTCTCAATTTCATCTGGTAAATTTCCCATGAGTTTTTAAATATTCTTATTGCACGATTAATATTCCAAAGCCTTTCCTGCTCTTTAACCCTCTTATTGCGTAATACCCTGCTCCTGTTCACGGATCCAGCTTGTATCCACTGAGTCGGCAGTAATCACTGAGCACTCTCACTGTCGGTCATGAACACTGGTCGTGGAAAAATGGGTGAGACGGAGTCCCCGCCCGGACCCCGCCTGCACTGAGAGATGACAGAGGCACGCACATAATTAGTAGACACACTGCCAGATATGATAGTGTGACAAAGAAGAACTTTGTTGAATGAGGTGTGGAAATACGAATCTGAAGCTGTGGGGAGCAGTCATTTCAGGCCTTTCCTCTTGTGTTTCACATATTATAATGTTTTGAAATTGGTGCATTTTCTCTGGACCATTTTCTCCAAGTCACTTTGTTGTTTGCTGCCTGTGATTTTTGCCTTTCAGTCTCGCCCCTTCCCCCAAAAAGCTTGGCTGGCCGTCTTCTCACATGTAAGAGTGAGGCACGCCTCGGCACACCTCGGCACTCCTGGGCGAGGTTTCTTGGCTATTGACCATCGGCAGAGGGGCACCAAGAGGGGCGTGGCCTTTGAGGGTGTGGAGATCAGCAGTGCCCTCCCCTCACTGGCGTCTCCCCAAATATGATTTCTCCATTGGACCAGGCTTTCCAGGGGCCAAATATGCACCAGCAGCCTAGAGCATCTTTCGGGCTTTCACTAATCACTATTTTTAGTCCAGAATCTGGCTACTGCCCTCCACCAGGCGTGGTGTGCATGCTTCCTAAGACTCTCTGGTTTCACTTCTACCTAGATAAAACACCTCTGATCTTTTGCTGGGGTGATCACGCTTCGTCTGGACTCCACTTGTCTTCCTGGTTTTCTCCTCCAGTCTGCCTTTGCCTGTAGAGCTACCTTGTGTCTAGAGCTCCTGTGTCTTTGGGGAGATCCGCAAAGCTTCTCGCCCCCCCTCTGAGGGCTGTAGGAAACAGCTTTGATTTCTCACCTGATCTGTTCTTATTCTCTCTCTGATTCTATTGTGAGGGTTTTTTTTCCCTTTGCTACTATTTCAGTAGAGTCAGGGAAGGTGACACCTATAAAATCACATGCCCAGTCCCCCATATGTAACCAGAATAACTCCTGGTAGTTGCTCTTCCTAATTGGTGGTGATAAAACAAAAATAACAATTCTGACTCATTAGGAGTGTTATCTGGAGTTTACTGCTGGGCAAAGCATGGAAAACCTGAACAAGTCTAGAAGGCTGTGGTCTTATGGGACAAAGTCTTTGGATTAATTGTCAAAAATAACTCAGCACATCAGTGTAAGCCTTGAGGGTTTCATCACACATGAGCCAATGCTGCAGGCGTGTTACCTGTGGGGTTGCTCAGGACAGCCCCATCCTGACATTCTTAATAACTATTAAGCAAGAGCTCCCACAGATTGCAGAGCCAGTTCTGAGTGTACAGAAGCCCTGGGAAGACCAGCTCAGCAACCAAAGAAAATCAAGAGCAAGATATGAAAAAGCAATAGCCATAAAGTTTACCCAGGAAACAGACCGCCTGAGTTAAACAATTCATTGTTTTCTCACGTCAAGATTAACCAGTAGTAGAGCTCAACTCAAGCTACTGATGAGCTCCCAAGTGCATTCTTGGTCGTTTCTGGAACAGTGTGACCAACATTAGATTTACTAGGTTGGGTGCAAATAAGACACCTGAGTCACCCCAGCAAGCAGTCACAAGTTTACTTGTTTCTCTGCTGCTTCTCATCAGTTTCTGAGAAGCAGTTGTGCTGGTTTCTTTTTCTGTGGTGCTGACCTTGCTATCTTGCAATCTTTCACGCCCTGCAGGCTCAGGCTCTTGCGTGGGCAAGTCTGCATGCACAGACCCAAAGCCCAGCTGAAGCTTTCTTATTTTTACTCGCTATCCATTCCTCCTTCTTCCTTACCTGCAGAAAACAAACATTTTTGTGAATGTGGCAGCAGCATGCCAAGCTCAAAACTGTATGTCAGAGCCTCTCTTACAGGTTGTCCTGAGTTTCGGCCAAGTCACCTCGAGTGGATGTTGGCTACAGGTTTCCCCAGCAGGAATGTTTTATTTACTTATCCCTCTTTTTGTGTCTTGTTCTCTCTTCTGCTGCCTGGAGCGCCTAAGTGACAGCTAGTGCTACAACAAGCCACTCAACAAACATTTAGTTAAAGAGTTATTTGTTAGGTGCCAGGCATTCTCCCAGAAATGGGTATACAGCAATAACAAAATCAGTGTCCTTGCCCTGGTGCTGTGTACATTCTAGTGGAATCACTGCCAGGGTGCAGTGAAGCAAGGAGGCTCCTAGCAGCCTTGATTTTGATATTTCTGAGCACTTGGACCAAAGACAAAACCCTACCTGAGGAAAATAAAATCCTGTTTAGTCAGTCTTCCAGGTACTTGCAATCAAACACATTCCTAAGCAACATATTTCAGCTGCAGAAAAATTCCTTATAGTTAAGACAGCTGGAGGACACACGGTGGAGTAAGTTTCTCAGCCTCAACACCCTGACATTCTGGACCAGACAATCCACTGTTCAGGCATCCTACTGTCCTATGTCTAGCAGCAGAGCAGACATCTACCCTGGAGACTACCTACTCCTACCCCAAGACATGACAATTAAAACCCGTGTCTCACACAGAAGGAAGACCACAGAGGCAGGAAACTTCCATCATCGAGTCAAGAAAAAAACCTCAAAAGGAAACAAGCCTAGGACCACACTGATCTTGGATGTCTAGCCCTAGACCTGTGCTGAAATTTCCATTGCTTAAGCTGCCTAATCTGTGACACTTTGTTCTGGAGGTAACTAACACATATACCCTGTGACCTCCTTAGGGGTGGGGGTGATGTTTTGAGTTTTACCTAAAGCAGACATACAGGGAATGAGAACAAAATTGATATTTATCAGATTCATACCCATATATCAAGCCTTGGGTTAGGCAGGTATTTCATGTGTGCAATCCGACTATTCTTCCAATGATACGGTGAAGTGTAGATACTACGGTGCCCATTCTATAGCTTAAAAACTGAGGCTGAGAAGACAATGATAACTTAGTCAATGTGTCTTCTAAACGATGCCAGGACATTATCTAGACATTGCCAAATGTTCCCTAAAACTCAGCATGTCCCTAGCTGAGGATTTTTGTGTTTCAGGCACAAGGTTGGTGGTGCTAGCCAACCCAGATCCGGAGTATCTGGGAACAACTAATTACTTCCTCCATCACTGGAAGAGTCCCCTGTAACTAACCTTCCCCTGGGGTACTGGCTGGCCTCCAGCCATCCCGGTTGACTGAGAGCTCAGGGCCACTGGTCTCTGAGTGTCTTATAACCACCCGAATGCCCAGCAGTGGCAACTGACGTCAGCCTTCATGAGAAGACTCAAGAGCACTCTCTCACATACTCAGCCTCCAGAGCTCCATGCACAGCCAGTCTCACAAGTATGGGGTGTCAGAGAAAGAACTGCAGTACCCTGCACTGTAGGCAGCTCCAGCCCACTCTCCCAGAGCAGGATGAGTGCCTCTGAGCAAAGAGCCTCCTCTGGGTTGAAGCCTTCGGGTGAGACACAAGCATCCTTCTCCCTCCATGTCCACCCGGGAGGTCAGTCCACGTACACTTTCCACCGACCTCATCTCCGGCCAACTTCGCACTGGGCCATCTCCCGGATCCTTGACCGGTCAGAATGCTTCTGGGACTTTTGGGACGGCTATGACAAAACACCATAGATGGGATGAATTAGAAGTAACAGAAACTTATTTCTCACAGTTTGTGCGGCTAGGAACCCCAAGGTCAGTTGCTGGCATGGGTCAGGTTCTGCTCTGGACCACTGGCTGCTGATTGTCTTTGTGCCCTGGCTGGGAGAACGGACACGAGAGCTCTCTGGGGTTTCTTCTCCGAGGGCACTAATCTCCGCCCTGGGACCCAACCACCTGTACAACACCCCACTTCCCACCTAACACCGCCACTTGGAAATGAGGATTTCAGTAGATGAAGCCTGGGAGCCGTGGACACGTGAACCACAGCAGAGCCCAATGCCAAATCCGGGGTAGTTTTCCTCCCTGCAAACCGACCAAACGCCTCCTATCTCCTACAAAACATGCTGAGTTTTAGGAGCCTAAAGGCAGAGCTGATCCACTTAGCGCCTCTACCCCCTGGGGATCCTTTCTCCTGGCCCAGCGCTAATCAAGCCCAATGGCTTTCAGATCATCCAGTAAATAGGTCAAATAGGCGCTGAATTTCATTCTCACTGGTTTGCTAGGAACCATATCAGGATGAGTAGTGTGATGCATGTGAATATGTCAAAATTTTTTAGCCCCTGAGGCCCAGCTAATTGGCATAAGGATATCAGAAATGGCTTTGACTGGACAATTTACAGTTTAAGGTATGTGACTTATCTGAGACCACCAATGTAGTGATTGATCCAGGCTAGGATGACCAAGGGGTGTGAAAGCCCTGGTGACAGTGGTGGAGAACAAGGTATTCATGGTCCAAAGAGTCACCCTATAGATCGCTTTTTAATTACAAAGAGAAGCTGGGAGTGGTGGCGCACGCCTATATTCCCAGCACTTGGGAGGCTGAGATAGGAGGATCATTGTGAGTTCAAGACCAGCCTGGGCTACAGAGTGAGCTCAAGACCAGCCTGAACTGCATAGGAAGACCCTGTCTCAAAAAGACAAAAAAAGAAAAACAAAAAATAATAATAACAATTACAAAGAGAAGAGATACCTAATGGTAATGCAAGCTGGCAGACAGCAGCCTAGGGAAATAAATTAATGCCACCAGGAATGGGACTGATTGGCATTTGTGTCTCTGGGGTGTAAAGAACACATTATCTTATAAAGAACACTATTAAACCAACTGGGAAAACTTTATCTGAATATATATTGTAGGGTAGATGACATGTCAATATTAAACTTCTTCAACATATAATTGTAGCTGTATAAAAGCATGTCCTAGCTCTCGGCAGAATGTATTTAAGCGTAAGACATAATAATGTTCCAACTTGCTGTCAAGAAGTTTGGGAAATAGTGAGTCCAGGTTAACCTGAACTACATAGAGAGACCTTGTCTCAAAAAAAAGAAAAAAAGTTTGAGAAAAGATATATGCTTGTCAACAGATAAATGGACAAAGAAAAAAATATATATATATATATATATATTTAAGAAGTGATCAAATATTTTGAAGAAATGAATTTTTTAATTTTTTACCGTAAATGCCACCTAAAATACTCCCCTCACTTCTAACACACTTATCCCATCACTCCTGCCACCTTCTGAAGCCGTTCAGGAAGTCCTCTTTCCTGAGTGTCTTTATAAAAGGATCACAGATACTACGAATAACGCTGTTGCTGAGCACCACCCAAGGGAGAGGCAGGCTCACAAAAGTGCTACTGTGTGTCTTCACCCACCGTCCTCACCAGGTCTGCTGCTGCGTGACTTCTGGCTCTTCCCCAAACGCAAAGTGACCATGAAAGGCACACATGTTGGATTGATTCAGGACATCGAGGCAGCCAGGACCGTGCGATGGTGGCAAGAATGATGGGATAAGTGTGTTCAAAGTGAGGGGAAGGATTTCGAGAGAGATTCGTGGTTATGTGTCTTTTACTGCAATAATTTGTAACATTTGAACATGAACCACATATATCAGTCTTTAAAAGGCAGAGATGCTGTCACATGCTACAGTGTGGATGAACTGGAAGTCAATGCGCTAAGGGAAAGGAGCCACTTGCAAAAAAGGGTAAGTCCTGCGTGATTTCACTCGTGCGAGGTATCTAGTCAAAATCATAGAAAAGAGCGAAGGCAGTTAGCTGACGGGGCTGGAGCGGAGAGGAAGGCGGCATTAAGGTTTAACGGGCTTAGAGCCGCAGATTTGCACGAGGAAGAAGTACTAGAGCTCTGAGGCACGATGACATGCATGCACCTAGCACTATGGAGCTACACACTTAAGCGGTTCAAATAGTACCTTTACTGTCACATGCATATAACCACAATTTTAAAAATAAAATTTGACATTATGTGTGCCTGTGTCTATAAACATATGTATACATTCCTTATTGAGAAAGAAAAACGGGCGAAGTCAATAAGGGAAAATGTTAATAATGCTAATAATAAGTATAGTAAACATTAAGCATTGTGAAGCTAGGTGTCTTTATGTTATCTTTTCAGCTTTCGAAAAAATGAGACAGTGGTGATTCGTGAGTTACTTAGAATCCTGCGGCGAGGCCCACGGCCAGTCTGTGAGGACAGCTTGTTTTCAGATGAAGGCAACATGGGCCGGGGATGTAGCTCAGCAGCACAGCGCCTGCCTGGCAAGTGCGAGGTCCTGAGTTTGAGTCGCGGTACAAAAAAAAAGTTCAAATTAAGGCAACAACCCTGTAGGGAGAGGTGTTGGGCCCGTGGGCTTCTGCTCTGTGGAGGGTCTGCCCATCCCGACTTCCAAGCCAGTGCCGGCAGCACGCCGGGCTGTGGAGACGGAGCCCCCTCCACTCCAGACAGCTGCTTGGGCCTCAAGGGAGAGAGGCCTGTTCGCTGCTGGCTTCTGGTCCACAGCTTGCTGGGATCCACACCCCACCAGCAGGCTGTGTGGGCGGAGAGGTGCAGGGCCCCGCCGGCACCTGCTTCTAACACCAGTCACCAAAAATAACCCGACACTCGCGTCATGTCCTGGGCAACAACAGGACGGCAACTGTGGAATGTGCCAGCTCAAGAATCCAGGGAGGCATCGGTGAGGTCATGCAGGAGGAGAGGCTCCAGAGGCAAAGGCCCATGTGTGGAGGAGGAAGGGGGGGGAGGGGAGGAAGAGGATAGGACCAGGAAAGGGAGGAGGAGGAAAGCGAAGGCAGGGAAGGAAAAGAAAGGAAAGAAAAAGAAATCCCCTCTCTCTGGAATCTGCGGGGATATATTCATGATGTGCCTATATACACACACACAAAACTCTGAAAAGGTAGGCAGCCAACTGTGGTTACTCTTAGAGCGTATCTGAAGGTAAGAGTAAGGTTTTCATTTTTTAATACTATTTCCTCGTAGATTATATAAATTGTCCAAACAGGTCTGTTGTATTTTGATATTTTTTCAGGAAGAAAAATTAAAGCCATGAGCTCTTTAGAGAGGGCCATCCCTTGAGGGAAAAGGGCAGCTGCTAACACTTGAAACAATTTCTGGTTTAGATGCCAGCAAGGGACAACTGGCGGGCCACATGGGGCTGCTCCCGGTTTTGGTTGGTAAAGTTATGCTGGAACCCAGCCGCCCCCACTGTGCTATAAACTGCCCTGTGCTGCAGTTATGGAAGAGCTCACATAGCCTACAAAGCCAAAAACGTTTGTTGTAAATGTGCCAATCCCTGCTCTAGATTCTTATTAGCCTCCAGCGTGGGAGTTGTACTGTCCACAGTAGATCACTGACCCACAATGTCAGACTTGGAGAGGCAGGGAAAGGAAAATGTTAAATTCCTTTTATGATACCTGAAAGTTTGAATCAATAGATGTCACCTCATCATAAAAATTGTCCTTATTCACCCAATGTCAGCAGTCCCTAATGCAATCCTGTCCATTATTCTTTATTTCCTCCAAGAAGTTATCACCTTTCCAGTTTATCATTCTCCTTGCCATCATGGAAGAATATGAGCACAGGGATCTTCTCAGACTTGTTTATCCCAATATCCCCAGGGCCAAGAACACTGCCAGGCACAGAATGAGTGCTGCACAATATTGGGTGGGTGAGTGGATGGATGGATGGACAGGCAGATGGAGAGATGGGTGGATGGATGGATGGATGGGTGGATGGAGAGATGGAGGGATGGATGGATGGATGGATGGATGGATGGATGGATGGATGGAGAGATGGATGGATGATGGATGGATGATGGATAGATGGATGGAGAGATGGATGGATGGATGATGGATGGATGATGGATGGGTGGATGGATGGATGATGGATGGATGATGGATGGATGATGGATGGATGGATGGATGGATGGATGAGTGAGTGGATGGATCTGCAATTCTCTGGCAAATTTTTAAAATCAGGGTGAGGAAAAGAAAGATGTGGTCAATAGCAATAGGAAACAGACTGTAAGGATAAACAAAAAAGTAGCCAATCTATGAGCATATTTTAAAGCTACAAACTATAA